AGTGCCATGTTACGAATGTTCAAAATTGGAATTTCAGAAAAGGCTAATATATAAGAATAATGGCTATTGTTCTGAAAAGTAAGAAAAAAGGTTCAATGTTCGGGCTTCTTGATATACATAATTTTTTAATTACACGATACGTATCTGATAGATATGCGATTGTTCGATGATAGAGATGACTTTGCAGGTTCTTTATTCTCATTATTACGAAGCTTATTTCTGACTTGTTCGATCTTGCGATAACTTTTAGTAGCGCGATCTTAACATAGCGACAGCCCTACTGGATGACCATAGAGAATAGCCGCCGATAGCTATTTTTCTATTGTGTCTTATTCAAATAGCTTTGGTCATTTTTTACACCTTTTAAGAAGAATTTTATATTGTTTAGTATACCTCTATGGTAGAAATGACCCGGTTTGCGGGTAACCTTAAAAATAAAGTACTTAACTACTATAGTTTGGTCAGGGAATGTTATGCTAACAAAAATGTGAATAATTTCCTATCTTTGATTTAAGTTATGGCTTTTGTTATTTGATTTTCTACTAAAGCATCTGAAACTGTCACATATTTTGACACTTGGTTTTGGTTTCAATTGTAAGAGTTATTTTCATTCGGACATTGCTGTTGTTCTGCGTGTCAATTAATAAAAAAAAGTTTATTGTTTTGATACAGGAGTATATATGAGGATTTTAGTCAAGGATTAGATTTCTTCATGGCTGAATATGAAACACTGCTCCACTACTTAACCAGTGAATATGACGCAGTCTTGTTACAAGTTTTATTTAAACATCAGTTTAGTAGCGACATGTTCAAGTTTCATACAAATTAAGATAACTACATACCTACTAACTCTGAAGTGACCGTGAGCCATTATTAACTAAAATCCAATTAAAATTTATTTTCAAAAGTACATAGCGTATAAATGAAACAAAAGATAATAAAGAACGAATTCTCTTAAGGTACACCGCGTATGATAATGTTAAATTATTTTTTACTCTCGCAAACAACTGTGACAATGCAAAAAGAAGTGTACGGCTGGCCGCACGCCGCCACGCCGCCACGCAGCAAATACTATTGTATTAAAACGATAAACCGTCGCTAAAAGAAAAAAACAACGCGCGTAGTTCTAGTTATAGGCTCTCGCTTCGAACTGCTAACAAAGCTATTCAGAGGTCCTATATCAAGATATCTCCACGAGATCTAGGGACCTGTCGCAGTGAATAGCTATAATTTGATGGAATATAAATGTACCTAAGTCAGGTTTAGGGCTGCTATTCAGTTTGAGTTTCCTCGAATTTGTCCTAGTTTAGGCGACTTTAGAAAAAAAGAGTTGTTCGGATTTATTTTTCGATTGGGAAAATTAAGAGGGGAAAAGGAAGAAACTGAAACAGTTATCTTAAGAGGGGAAAAGGAAGAAATAAAACTGCTTAGTTGGTTGATTTCTTTTTTTGCAAATACTACTAAATTAATTTAAAAAATTAAACCTAAATCATGATAATCAATCAATCGTGATAATCTGGTATTTAATTATTAGTCTGTTATTTCATTTAAAAAAGTAGTTCGAAATAGGAGATTTGTCTATGGTTTAAAAAGCATAAAACTGCTTCTGCCCAGTTTTATGCAACGTTAAATGTGGTGATACAAAAAGGACAGCAGTGCAGTTAAAAAGTATTGATAGGGTTCTGTAGCTTTACCTGATTGTTTATTAATATCCCTGGACGTCTACACAGCGCTATCTAGTCCCAAGCTAAGCAGAACTTGCTATAGGCACTAGACAACTGATAGACATAGGGGGGGGATTGGATTGTTAGTAATGTGGACTTATGACCCCATTACTAGCAATGTACCATGTCAGGTTGACCTCCAAGCGGTTCCCCCTGGAAACCATCGTGATAAATTCCCCGTGAATTTGTCACGATGGGCCAAGTGACCTGACCTGACCTCATGCTCATCTTATCATCGTCCACTGGTGCCCCGCCAGGGTAAACCGTTAGCGCAGGCGAGAGCACCATTCCATTATCGTCCATGAAAAAAAAACTGTTAGACATACATTTATTTCATCTAGTAACAATTTTTATGTAGTTTTTGACTAGTCTAAGTGATGTATGATAATGCACACGGATTTATAGTATAGAATATTCCGTCATCATCAAATAGAGCATTTTGGAAATGATAAAATTAAAATAAATTGGAATTATTTGTTAATTTTACTTAATAGGAACAAGGATTTGTAGAAAATATGTGTCAATCAGTATTGTATATCTTATTAAGTAAAATAAAAGTTAAACATAAATTCCAAAATTATGATAGCAAAGAGATAATGTAATTTACGGTTTGGTTTTTCTTTGGGGAACCCCAAAATGGCGGACGGGCGTATCGAACCTGTAAATAAACTTCGATATAATCTTATAGGGCACATAAACGTAAATAAGAGTCTCGATGGGAGCCCCGAGGACTATTAGGTGGAGATGTTCGAATTACCTACACGTTTTGTTACTTTGAATATACCGGTGGAATGTTAATATTCCATAATCTTATTTTACTTTATATTTTTTATATCAAACAAAATTGTTACTTTGTGCTATATTGATCAAGTTATCACTACGTTTTTAGCTGCGCATACATTGTGTGCCACCGTTCTAAATTTGAATTGAAGTAATTATGTTTTTTTTTAAATAGATGTGACTTCAGGTTAAGATAATACAATTAATCTGCTTACTAGGGCACACATATAGGATAGACACTCATATAGAAGATGAACATCACAAAATATCACGTCTTCTTGTGACGACTGTATTACTTACCTACGTTGTAAATTCAGTGCCATATTTCACTTTTCAACTGATACACAGCTTTGCAGCTGTTTGGGAATAGGTGGGATAGAGCGACGCAGATAAATTTATACAAAGTGTACCACTGTTATGAGGACAGTAAACTCGGAAACCACTGCATCTGTGCATCAATTTGATAAGTCTTTCGTTGTTTTTTATTTACATGAAGTGTGCCACAGCGTTATTATAAATACATTTTATATAGTTTATAATGAATTAGATTATATCACCAATTAGATATACTCATAACTTGAACTAGTTAGCTAGTTACAATATATAAAGAAATTGATACTTTTGCTACAAGCAAATGAAAATATCAAATACGTCTTGCAGTTATCAGAAAAATATTTCAATTTACATTCCTCAGAAATCCGAATTAAATATTAAAGAGAAATCACATATAAGTTAGATATAGTTAGATAGGACTAAAATGGCTAATATAAAATGATTTTATTAAACGATGCGGAGCGCGGCGACGGTTGTTCTTCATGAAGTATTAAGTTGGTATCTTTTTAATTAGACCTATGGCTTCCCAGCTCGTTACTATGAAACTTTGTTGGCATGTACACTTGAAAGAGGCTGTCGTAGACTATACCTATTTAAATATAAGCTAATTAGGCAAACATTGTACTGCCATATAAATTATTTCTAGATAGACCACTCTTATCACCGAAGGATATAAAATAGCCCACAACCTTATTGCTAAGGGAGAAAGGGGATTGTTAGTGATGTGTACCTACTAATAACCTCATTACTAACAATGTACCATTACAGGTCTACCTCCCCGCAGTATCATCATGTAAAATTACTGTTTAATTTGTCACCATGGGCTAACTGACCTGACCTAACATGACATCCTCATCCTCCACTGTTGACCCGCCAGCGTATACCGTCAGCGAAGGCACGAACCCCATTCCATTCTCATCGATAATAAAAATCCCATTGCTAGCAATGCACAATTACAAATTGACCTCCACGTGGTTAAATAATAGATTATGTAGGTATAGTAGTAGTAGGTACCTATATTATGTCCGTAAAATAAACATCAAGTGTACCTAAGTATTTTGTAAATGAAAAAAAAAAACAAGAAAAACTGTAAAACTTGTAAATGTATTTTTATTTATATATGCATCGACGATGCACCCAACCGGTGCCTGGGTGCATCGCTATGCAGACCTTTATAGTGTCATAGTGAAAGCAGGAAGCGATTATGCAAGCAAGTATCATCGGCGCAATTACGTTTGCGTGTCTGTTGGTCCATAGTGTCGTTGTACGCTCCCATTGTATCCAAATTAAGTGTGTTTATAATAATAATGGAATTAGTATGCTAGTAATTATTTACTATTACTGTCAGAGGGCGGAGTGAAGTCTTTGGACTTAACAGGTAGGTAATAGCGTGTACACTAGACTTATAATTATGTACACGTTTTGTAATTTAGTGTAAAAAGGTCAATGTATTTAAATTATATGGTCACAGCCCACATTGGTAGTATGACCATATAAAAGCTACCGTAGGTGGTTTGAGTAGGAAGGTCTTCGATAAATATGGAATCGATATTACAGTAGGCTTTACTTTCGTATATATCAAATAATGTGAACCAAGAATTAATTTTGTTCAGCTCTATAAGAATTTTGCAATTGTCTCCTGCTTTGCTACTGAATTCTATCTAATTCTAAACTAAAGAGTCTAAATATCTTAGGTTCCAATATAACTCATTATTTGTAACTGTGATAATATTTTGACCTTAGCCATTGACAATGATTTGAAAAACCATTATCTTAAAAACCCGTACATATATTAGTTCGGGTATTTAAAATACTGTTTTTTCTATAATAAATATTTTTAAGTAATAACAAGAAACTAAGATAATAAAAAAACACTTAATAAAATAGAACGTTTAGTAAAATTTTTATAATGTATATTATAATTTTATTAAGTTTATATTTTTACAATTTTATACTATTTATACGTAACATACATTTATAGCGAGTTAATTTTTTTATTTAAAAAAAATAAAATTATGTTCAGTGTTCTATGCTGTCACGGCTATTCTAGTAAATTTCGTAATACGGAACGTAAACACTAAGATGGCGTACATCAAAAAAGTCGTGTCAATGTCAAATCGAGTGTTTTGAATGTCAGTTGTCAAAGTCAAAACGTACAGCAAGTGGTTAGGGAACACGTCAGTAATCCAATATTTTGTATTTTTAATATTAAATGTCTACGAAAACGATTAATTACTATTTTAACTTCCGAGATAACCGTAAGAACTCCATTGTTCTAAGTCATATTACTATTATAGCGTGTGGAAATTAAGATTATTACCTACTAAATATTAGATTGCTTCCTGTGTTGGTTCTGCTTTCGTGTTGTGATTCCGTATAAATTATCCGAAAAATATGTATTTATGAATTAAGTACTGTTTTATATATGTATATTTACTTAAGCAATGGTATTTCAGGTATGTAACAACATGTTAAATGAAAATAAATTAGTATTACACATTATCATTGCGATGAGCGCGTTCTCTGCAATTCTGTGTGATATACAGCCGCCGGTAATTAATCCAAGCATACTAACGCCGTCGAAAAGCCTCGGAGAGTGTCAGGCTTGTAGAATATTCATTGAATCTTTCAAGAACGGTCTGGAGCGGACCTCCAGAGGTCAGTATGAGGGCGGCGACGCGGCTTGGGAAGAGGAAAAGCTAAAAAAGTCATACAAGCGCAGTGAGATGCGTCTCATTGATATACAAGATGGTATTTGTAAGGAGTCAAAGCAGGCTATTCATTGTCACCACATGGCCGAAAAAGCTGAAGAATATATTGAGGCATGGTGGTCACAAAATCCAGATGAGTCTGAGGACTTGTACATTTATATTTGTATAGAAAAATTGAAGGTATGTTGTCCTAAATTCCACTATGGTAAGGACTGTGCTCCATGTCGAGGTGACCATGAGAAATTGTGCAGTGGTAATGGAAAATGTAGGGGTGATGGTACACGGAAGGGAAATGGGACATGTCTATGTGATATAGGCTATGCAGGTGACGAATGTAATCAATGTTCTTCTGGTTATTACCTATCACACAAAGATGATAGTCAGATAGTGTGCTCATTATGCCACAAAGCATGTATGGGTGGCTGTCGTGACGGTACGCACAAAGATTGCGTAGCCTGCAAACCTGGCTACATACAGGACTCAGAAGAAGGTTGTAAAGACGTCAATGAATGTGACGAGCCATACAAATGTGCGAAGAACCAATTCTGTCTCAACTCTATTGGATCATTTATATGTATGAATTGTGATCGGTCATGCTATGGTTGCCACGGAGATGGACCAGATATGTGCAAGCAATGTGCGAAAGGCTATGCCAAAAATCAAGGGTTGTGTATAGTAGAACGCAATGATGAAGATTTAAATCAAGATCTAACTTCAACACGGTAATAATATAGTTTGCTTAATCTTTTTAATTTAGTGTTGTTATTTTGTGTTTAATCACCATCATTTCTTACAGAGGTGAAGAGCTGTAACTTCCTGTTTAAAATGCTGGTTATGATTTAGGTAAACCAATATTTTGTTACTGGTGGCTGGGTTTTTATTATTTGTGTATTATTATTTACATTTCAAATATGTGCATTTACTATGTATATATCTATATATATATATAAAAATTGGCCATCACCTATGTCTGGAATAGTCTGAAACAACTCAATACCCAGTTAAATTAATTTGATTCAATTTAAAAGATAGGATAGTTTTTGTTGTCCTCAAACAAAGAAGCACAGCAACACGTGGCCTGATTCAATTTAAAAGACAGCATAGTTTTTATTGTCCTCGATATTATAAACAATGAAGCACAGCAAACTGTGGCCAGGTTACACCAACACAAACAAATTGGTGCAAGAGAAGAAAAACATGGAATTAAACACTATATCAACTAGCATTGCTATTTAGTAATAGTACAAGTACTAAATAGCAAAAGTACTAAATAGCAAAATTACTAAATAGTTAAATATATTTATTTACTTATTATTTATATTTATTTGTAAATTGGGCCTGCTTATAGATACGGGTCTGCACTGTACTGCACTTGAGGAATGAAGTAAATCAATGATAATGATTGATTTAATTTGTTCCTCAAGTAACTATTATTTATTTTTTATTTTAGGAAGATTAATGTTATTATTTTACTCTTATAAATTAAATTTAAAATACTTTAAACCCTCATAAATGTAATAAAATTAGACTTCACCTGTTTCTTTTGTAATTAGAATGGCATCTGCTGGTAATGCCTGGTCTATATATACAGGAAAGTTATCACAAACATCATGTAACACCCATATAATCACTTATCTCGCCCCTTCAACTGAAATACAGCAAACAAACCAACTGAAATAGGTGAGACAGAGGTACCTTATGAAGGCAATTGCAAGGAAAAATCTATGTCCATTTGATTTTAAAAATTCCTTATAATTAAACTTGCATGTATCTGTTTAAGCTGCATCTGTAGTAGTTAAATATATCTATATAAAAGAACTGTTGTTCTTTTTCCTGGTCCTGGTTTCTTCTTGGCTGTATTTGCATTCTGAATGGGCGGTAGTATTAAAAAGTGCTTATGTAATTTGTATTACATTATTTCAATGCTATATATATGTATAAACATACTTCCTTTATACTTGCCTTTTTACCTTGATATGATTATGAATCATTACACTATTAACAAAATTCAATTTATTTAAAATTTCATATCAAGATATTGTATTTATATGTATTTATGAAGTAATATAACACTGTCTTTTTTTTGCTATGCGTCCTGTTTGCTTTTTAAATATTATTCTAATACATAAATTATATTTTAAGGTTCATGACGTATGTGGGCCTCCTCATTGCTACCGGAATATTACTGCCAAATTCTACCTCATTGGGAAGTTTAGTAGGCGCGATGGTCCTATCCTACATCGTCGGCGCAGAGTACTATTGTATGATAAATGGCCACAGAGGTCTGGTAGATCTAAAGGACTTTGATTTAATACAATATTTCCGTACATAGAAGTGATTGTGACAACCTTAGTGGTGTAACTGCTCAGCACACTGCCTTATTTTTCGATGGTTGTAGGTTCGATCCCTGCATTCAAACATTTGTATTCCTGAGTATGTTTGTTCGTATTTGTCTGAGTGTTTTTATACAAGTGCGCTGTGTGATAGGTCTAAGGCTATTATTTATGTATTTGAATACCAACAGTTGTATGTATGTGAATTATAAAGGTAATTGTTAATTTTTTATGTGATATTTTCTTGGCAAGTTATTATTTGTGTGATATTAAGATACAAACATGTCTCAATGTGCATTATTATAATTTATACTTTAACAGTTTTATACCGGTTGAAATGTGAAGTCTCTAATAAATCTATTTTTATATTAGTGTTCTGTCTTTTTTCAAATTGGGGGCCATTCATAAATTACTCCACACCGATATCAGTCATTATTATATAAATGGAGAAGGATATTTTAGGAGGACGTGAAGAGTCATAAAGTATATTTTAAAAATCATGAAATCTAGGACTCACTAACCCTCTCCTGGACAATGGGAGCAGTCACATTGTTCGGGTAAAAAAATTAGAGAGTCCTATCCTCCTAGAAGGGATGAGTATCGTAGATTTCATGACTTTTACTTTATTTTATATATTTTTTTACTTTTAACTTGTAGACTCCTATTATCGTCTTAGCAGGTACTACCCGTATTATGTGATTTTGTGACTCCTCCAATCTTTCTAGGAGGGCAATACAGTGTCGTAGATTTTATGATTTTTACACGAATTTCGTGACTCCTCCGATCCTCGTAAGAGGGGGTTAGAGTGTCATAGATTTTATGATTTTTACACGAACTTTTTTACTCTTCCTACCCTCCTAGGAGGTGGTTAGAGGATGGTAAATTCATGATTTTTACATGAACTTTTATATTCTTCCCACCCTCCTTCAACTAGTGAGGTAGTTTATGGATGATCCCTTGAGAAGTTATTCGCAAAGAATGAGAAGAAACACCTCAGTAGTTATAATAGGTTTATTAGACAATTGACTAATAGATGAATAAGAACGTAGTTTTGTATACTGATGAATACAAATGTGCTAGAACTCTTGTGTTAATAAGTTTGTATAAGGGTTGGTCGTAAAGGGTGTGCGAAGCCAGTGGTATTATTCAAGATTCATTTTTTTATGTAGTTTATGTACAGTAAAAAAAATGTAATATTTAATTTATCATTTATTGATTCAAATTCAAATTAAAAATTAAGAAATCATTTATTCATGTAGGACATTTTCGTCGCTTATGATAATAGGACGTATAATTTTTTGTATTATATTTTTTTCGCTACCGTCCAGTTCAGTTTACAGATTCATTTGAGAAGAACTGGCAAGAAATTCAATGGATTATTTACTTTTTTTTTAATCCAGTTTATTTATTTATCTGTATGGCAATCAGGTAATGTATTGCCATTCCAAAGGGCTAAGATGTCATGCGTCTTATCCTGTACAGCTATCTATCTGTATCATAAACAACTGTCTCAAACGCGCAGGGTGTAAATTAAAAATAATTATTAAAACCTTTATAGAAACTGAGCGGTCACGTGATCAATATAGTATGGAAGCTGCTAATCACATTAGATTTCCATTTTATTTTTTGTGAAAGCTATTCAGTGTTTATAATACTCTAACGGTTGGCTTCGTATACTCTTTACCGCTGAGCCTGTATAAAAACCACTTAATAATTAAGAATAGTTCATAGTACATAGTATAAGATAAACGGAAGGGGGAGGGATTGATAGTAATGGGGTCCAGCGGCCCAATTGCTAACAATGTACCCTATCAGATCGACCTCCACGCGGTTCCCCCTATGAACCATCGTCGTTAATTCCTGATGAATGGGCTAACTTGGCTGAATTCTCACCTCATCATCTTCCACTAGTTCCCCGTCGCCGTATATTAGCGCAGGCGGGTTCACCATACCATTATCATCCACAAAATAAATATGTATAAGCAGATCTATAAAGAAGATGAGACTTGGCATTAACTTCTACCAAGTTGCCTCTCCCTTGTATATCTGACAACGAAATGGACTGTAGAATGCTTGTATTATGACATTAATTAAATTAGGATTAAGGTCCAAAGCCTCTAAATAGAGATGCATTAAAACAGAGAGTGGATTAGGATAAGTCGTGTTGTGTTAGATTATTCAGGCCTGGATCTACTTGTATCATTTTGGTATGAAGCTGTTCATACATTTTTATATGCATATGCATGCATACATAATAGGTTGTATGGATTAATTTTGGAGGTATCATCCTCTTAAACAGGCCCGTATTCAAAACAAATTAATTTCTGTAAAAAAAATGTGTATGCACGGACTATTTTACATTCAAAACAAATTATTTTCTGTAAAAATTGTTAAAAACGGACTATTCTTAGCCGATTCCTAAAAAAGGAGTACGTTCTCAATTCGACGGACGTGTTTGTACCTTCTTTATTTCCTTTTTTTTGTATGAAATCTAGAGATATAGAAATTTGACTAAGTTCAGATTAGTAGTTTTTGAGTTATTCTTAATAATATGTGTGTATTGGTTTCTGCGTGGCCTGAATACGGTATGGTGTTAAAACTATTAAATGGTAGCATACATTTAATTTATTAGTTCTCACGAAAAAGTGGCCATCACAAAACGGTGTTTATTTTTTTAAAGGTTTCATAAACAAAATATAATGCTAAGTAATAAATGTGAAATGATTCTTTTATTACGCTATCACGTATTACTGCTCAACTTTTTGTCAAAAATAGTACTTACATATTGCACGCTTAACAATTTAATTGTATTTACTTCCAAATTTTTATTAATTCGACTTTTTAAAATAAAACTTTAGAGTCGATTTTCATAAATTTGTAGTTCTTGATTTAATACAGTATGTTAAGGGAGCGACATATGGAATGGATTAGGCTGCTGAATTTCACAAATGGGCGACTGACCGTGACCGTTCCTACTGTACCTACTTACTTTTAAGATAAATGCAATAAAGAAACAATATTACCAAATATAATTGTTAATATTAAAATTAAGAATATGTCTTATATTTTTCTTTTTAGAAATATTTTTACTTGCTTGCACGGGCCATTTGAGGTTCGTCACCGTGGTATATTAAATTCGGGGCATATAGTTGAGCAAACTTGGATTAGAACAACACCCGTCTTTAACTGTACGCTCTTCACGCGCGAATCAACATGAAACAATAAGCATGTAAATGTACACAAAGAGAACGAGAAAGACCCACGCGCCGCGCCGCCAGCTCGCGTCCCGCGTCCTCCAATCGTGCGTGCTTTAGCGCCTTTTTATAGTAATCAATTATATTTGCAAAATGGCGGACATCTGTCTATGCAGCAAAAAGATAATTATAGAGTTATAGATAATTTATAAATCTTTAACGTGTTTTTGAAAAATAATCTGTGGTTTTTTTGCCACAAATAATGAAATATTTGAAATGACATGAATCATACGCAAAAACGCGCGAAAGAGTGAACAACAAACAGTTATGTAATCTTTCATGATACCACGCGCTGGTTTTCCCACGCGCTCCTGATCGCGCGTGAAAGAACGTGTATAAAGTTAGCTAAGGATTATTGTATATTAGAAGATAACTTCTATCCCTGTCTTGCAGATATAGAGAGTCATATTGTAAATTACGTCACACGAATTCAATAATTTTTCGACTCCATCCCCGTTCTTAGCCCGTCAGAGGCTCGAATTTTTGACTTTCAATCTTCCCTTACGTGACGTCACATAATTTACAAATACTAGTAAACCACTAGAGATATTTTTGAGCTTCAAATGTTCGTGTTTTTATACTTAGATATATTATATTTTAAAATGTGAAATCATGAAAAAAATGGCCTCTCCGCAACGTGTGACGTAACTTATGGATGCGACGTAGTCATGGGTAGAAGTTAGTCTATTGTAATTATTGTTACTTTATACTTTACTCGAGGTTTTATTAAATGTAAAATATACAGCCATATTTACGAGAGTAACATATTTGTATGAAGTATAATAAAATAGATAATTGTGTTCTAAAAGCATAGCAAATTTTAATAATTAATGCACTCGTACCTATTATAAGTATAATTAGCATGTAAGTGAAAGTGAGATTTTATGCTTGTACGTGCATTGCAATTGTATTATTTTCATTTGAAATTAATAGAGTAGATAAACTTTTACTTTTTATTAATATTTATTTATTTATTAACTTAAATATTATTAATCTAGTCAAATTCACAACCGTTTACAATGTATATTATGTACTAACAAAAGATATATTTAAGAATTTATATTTGTTATTTAATATTATTGTACGAGTTTAGTTTGTAACTAGTTGGCGCCATATGACATGTCTACAACTATTTATTTATTTATAAATTGTAAAAATATTAGTTTTCATAAATCTCTAGATAAATATAACATAATGTGATGACTAAGTGAAATTACGCAACATTAATAGTGTCAAAATAGCTAAAGTATTTAGTAAATTACACGTGAAATGAATCATTACATATGTACCTACCCGTACGTAATTTACTTACAATTTTATACCTATTAGAGCTGTAGTAACGACAAACGGTGTATCGGTACTTACTAGTTACTAATCTAAGCAGTACTCGTTACTACAGGATCGTTACGTTACTAGTTACTTTTGAATGGCCAAATACTTATTGAGTTCTGTGCCAGTGATTGTTGCAATTTTGTTGTTTATTTACAGTGGCAACATTTTTGCTGTTTTTCTTTATACTACCAGTGTAACTACAAACATTTTACTTTTTTTTACTTGGAAATACCTCACGGAGGGTAGTCTGCCCTTGGTGAGGTCGCCGAATGGGTAACATAAGATTGAATTAATTGACTGACTAAAAATTCTAAGACGTCTCTTCGAGTTATTTAATTGCCGACTCTACCTCTCTGATTCCCTGTAGTATTATTGTGTTTCCGTCCTGTATACATCCTGTCCCCCTTCGGCCTGGAGGCTGGTTGACTGGCTGTTTCGCCATCTTATTTTTAAGCAGGGTGCTAGACTAATAGTTTGCGAGCCATAAAAGTGAAGCATGTTGTCTTTCTGTCCTCCAACAATAACATAAGTCGCTACAGTCCTAAGTGTGGTGTAATCACATACTTACAGTAACTATGTAGTTATAGTACCTAAACAACTATAGTCTCTACAGTAACTAGTAACTCCAACAATTCCAAAGTAACGACAGACCTCATTAATATAGTTACTGTACTAGTTAGTTTGTATGGGTACCTACCGTTTGTAACAGCTCTAGTACATATTAGTTTTGCCAAAGCGTGTAATTATTCTTAGTACAAAACGAAAGAATTGAATTTTAAATATAAACAGTATAACAGTCTGGAGCCAGTGTCCTTATGCAATACTATTTATATTGCACTAATAAATAAAACGGTACTATATTTATTTTATCGTGTTTTATTT